TTTGAAAACGATCGATCAAGAATTTAAGATTTACGATTATGAACAAAAAAAAGTTAATTTTCTTTAAATATAACCGTGTGGTGACGGATTTAGAATACTAGAGTGTCACTACCCCTATTCATTCCGTGGGTGTCGTAAGAGCCGACTAAGGGAGCAAACTAAATAGCAAAGAAAAGAAAAACTTGAAACAAACCCTATACCAACCCTGTCTGGCCAGCGTGGTATAGTAGGCTAAAACCTCCTGTCTAAGGAGAGGCCTATGTCCAGCAGTAGTGGACTATTAATGGCTGATGATCATGATGATCATATATAGATTATATCCACAAGACATACGTAACAGATCACTAATGGTTATTAAGGTGGTGTATGATATTACAGTTTACGTGAAAAGAAAAATAATTGTAGCAACTTCGCTTCTAGTCTTCAAACTATTTATTATAACAAAGAAAAATATAAAACTATATAATTTAAACTATAATAATATCGCTTGTTATGGTTTTAATTCCACGAATAGCGACTTGTGGTCTAGAAACGAACGTGCCTAGTTGGTAAATTCATTTGATTATTAGCGGCCGTGTTTCGTTAAAAGATTTATCATTGTTATAATAAGTTTATAGGTATAATAACTAAAAGTTTTTATATAATTGACGATAGAATGGACGTTATGTTTCTCTTTTAATAAATCTCGCGTCGATTGATTGACATAAAACTGCCCAATATGGACTCATCGTCATTAAACAATCCGTCATATCCTAAATTATAATAGACTAGCTTTTGCTAGCGGCTTCACCCGCGTGTGTGTCGGTTAACGCGGTAAAAAGTAGCCTGTGTCCTTCCACAAGAATCAAAGTATCTCCATGCCAAATTTCATTAAAATCGGTTCAGCGGTTTAGCCGTGAAAGCTTAACAGAGACAGGCAGAGTTACTTTCAGGGAGGATTTCGAGAATAAAAACTATTCAATATCCTTCCCCACAACTCAAACTATCTTTATACCAAAATTTCATCTAAATCGATTCAGTGGTTATTAATTTCCCATATAAACTTCTACCACCCTAAAGAATGATTGTGGAATAAAAACTACCTATGTACTTGCCCGGGACTCGAACTATCTCACAACACACGTTACTCCACAGTATAACAAATATTAGTAGTTAGTATAGAAAATAGTAGCATAAAAAAATGCTTTAACGTACGTAAATGTTACAAACATTTTTACAATGATACTTCACAATTTTAGGTAAAACATGACGTGTCGTTGACACCTATATTAATGCGAGCATTGTATCACATTTAATATTAAATTCGTATAGTGTAATATTGCCTTTAGACTATTTAGTATAAATACATATTCTTAAATACGAGGGGTGATCAATAAGTAATGATAATCGAGTATTTCTAGAACGCACAAAAACCCAAATTATTTTTTTTCTGCTTGCTTATATATCCACTACTTCAGCTTCAAAAAAATGTATAAATAGGACACCATTACCGGGAGATACATTCATTTGAATACGAACTGTCGAAGAGAAAACATCAAAATGGAGAAAAATGAAATAAGAGCTGTCATCAAGTACCTCTGCCTGAAAAAAATGTCTACCAAAGACATACACAGCGACTTAGAGGAAACATTGGGGGAGTCTGCTCCTCCATATTCCACAGTCGCACGCCGGGCAAAGGAATTTAAGCTGGGCAGAACCTCCACTGAAGATGAACATCGCGAGGGACGCCCTTCCACGTCCCTTACTGGAGAAAACGTCAAAAAAGTGGAAGATATCGTGTTGGCCGATCGAAGGGTGACCATAAGGCATGTAGCTGAGGTCACAGGGATCTCCTATGGCAGCGTTCAAAAAATCATTGTCAACAAAATGCATATGAAAAAGGTCTCTGCGCGTTGGGTACCGAGAATGTTAACCGACGAGCAAAAAAAGAAACGAGTCGACATTTCGAGGGTGAATCTTCAAAAGTTCCAGGCCGATAAAGAATTTTTTTTGTCGCGTTTTGTGACCATGGACGAGACCTGGATCCACCACTTTGATCCCGAAACCAAACAACAATCAATGACTTGGAAACGAGCTTCCTCACCAACGCCGAAGAAATTCAAAGTGTCAAGTTCAGCGGGAAAGGTTATGGCGTCTGTTTTCTGGGATGCAGAAGGAATTATTATGGTGGAATATTTGGAAAAGGGGGCCACTACAACAGGCTCTTACTACGCAGGCCAAATAAGAAGATTGCGAGAAGCTATTAAGTCAAAAAGACGCGGTAAACTGCGCGCTGGAGTGCTGTTTCACCAAGACAACGCCCCGGCTCACAAAGCCGCAGTTGCGATGGCTGCCATTGAAGAAACGGGGTTCGAACTGCTCGAACACCCTCCCTATTCGCCAGATCTAGCTCCCAGTGACTTCTACCTCTTTCCTCGGCTCAAAGAACACCTCCGGGGCAACAAATTTGAGGACAATAGTGAAGTGATGGCCGCAGTAGAGGCATTTTGGGAGGGTCAAGACAAAGAATTTTTTTCTAAGGGAATCATGGGCTTAGAAAAAAGATACACTAAATGTATTAACTTGCAAGGAGACTATGTTGAAAAATAAAATACTTTTTTTAATCTAATAGTTCTGTTTCATATTGATTATCATTACTTATTGATCACCCCTCGTACAGTGTCTCCACGTATCAGTTTGTTTAAAATTCTACTGAGGTATTGAATTCAGGGATTAAAATTTTCGAAAATTACAATAAGGCGTATTATTTTTATAGTCTCGCAAATCGGTGATCCCTTTATTTCAGAGAATTTATTTCATTACTAGCTGACCCGACAAACGTTGTATTGCAAAACAAAAAAAAATTAGGGTTGGGTCACCCTTACCATTTATGGGTATGAAAAATAGATGTTGGCCGATTCTCAGACCTACCCGATGTGCACACAAAATTTCATGAGAATCGGTCAAGCCATTGTGACACGAGAATTTTATATATAAGATTAAATACAAAGTAATCATTCATGTACATACATACATGCATATGTTAGTCGATGAGTGTACTTTTGTTACCGCGGTACAGCGATGATTCATTGAAAGAGCTTTCAAAATGTATGGATGTGGGGTAAGGTGTGTTTTGTAGATAATGTAAAATTACTTCATAATACATAATAAGTACCAACTCAGGCCTCAAGTCATCAGTGATTCAGTTAATAACCGGTAATCAAAGTTGTGCAATGTGCACAGTACAGTCAGCCCTAAAGACATGCATTAATATCACAATGATAAACAAAATTTGAACTTAATCTACTTATCTGGTACGGTTGGAGAGCATTCGAGTGCAACGTCACAGATTGTGGCCTCAATTACCGCCAATTGCATTGAAAAAATAGCTACGTATGTTTATATTTTATTTTCTAGAATACGGCAAACAAAACAAGACATTCTTAATTTCAAGGCGGTGTGTTATATGTTGTCTTTAAAATAATTTAAAGCAATAAGTCTAGGTCTACGAGTACAGCTATATTACAGATTCTTGCAAAAAAACCTACTAAACAAATACAAAAACGTTAATTTCGATAAGAAGGGGTAAACAGAAATGAATACAAAAATAATAGCATCATTCGCCCTTGACAATTTCAATGAATTTACAAATGCTCAAATAGTACATGCATGTTTATTTGTACTGTAAATACATAATTTAGACACATTACTAACTTAATATATCATATTAGACAAATTGGAACAAAACTAGCCTAATTTATTACAAATGACCACAATTATTGTCTACTAAAACATAGCATTAGGCCCAAACCTCGCTCCAATAACGAAAACACTACCTTTTAACAAGTGAACCAGGACACAAAACATTCGTGCATTCGCAATCTGTTCCATAATTGTCGTGTAATTTATGGCTACTGGTAAATTAATAGTGTCGCAAACTGTATGTTGTACACTGACAGTCCTGGCTGTATGATTTGTGATCTGTGTCACACAATTGTAGTGAATTAAAAGTATATTACTGGATAACTGTTTATTTTGGAACTATGGCACTGGTAATGTCTATATGACGCACTTATCACCAGTTAGATTGACAGTTAATATAATAATAAAAATAAAGCCTTATTTATGGGAAGCAACTTAAGCAAAACATTCAGACAGTGATTTTAAGATGTTGAAGTGAATTCTGAAACCTTATTTATTTGAAAGGCAACTCCCACACTGGGAATATATCCTGTGTCGCGGGGGACTTTACAAACATACGTCAAGACTCAGAACGACAATTTGTAGTTGAGTGTGGGGATCGAACCCACGACACTCGGCTTAGTAGGAAGTGGCGTGGTGACCGTTTATACCACTACGCCATCCGCGCAGTCGACTTTGAACAATACATTTTCAATAATACACTTCTTCTAATAAATTGATTTATTTTGACAGAGCAACAAATTCCACTATTGTTATTGTTCTACAAATTGTTGTTCAGCATGGTTTGATCTTCTAGAAAACGTCTTCTAGGCATTTTGTAAAGTATCAAAACTTTTGTTTTTTTTTGTGGACGCATTTAGAAATCGAACGAAGAGGCCAGTATCGTAACAGTATCGAGACCGGTTTGTAATTTATAATCAGCTATAAGAAAAACATCGCTGCCATAATGGATTCTCAATAAAATCTCTTAGGGTTGTACATCGCACTTTCAAAGGTACCGTATATAAGTGAAGTGACGTGTGGTGACGTATTAAGAATGCGGAGTGTTACCACCCCTATTCATCCCGTGGGTGTCGTAACAGTCGACTGAGGGAGCAAACTACGCTAGACAATAGCACCACAAAGAAAAGGAAATCTTAAACAAACCATAGGGTTTGTGTTGGTATGTACTAATTGACCAACCAGTCTGGCCAGTGTATTATAGTAAACCTCCAATCCTAAAGAGAGGCCTATGTCCAGCAGTGGACTATGAAAGGCTGTTGATGATGTATATAAGCTTTCTCTAATGTTCCATACCAAAAAAAAAAACTTGTACTGACCTGAGTAAGCAAGTGAGCTGTACGTCGTTCTGGTAGCGGTTGAGAGCAGCTACGCCCTCCACACGCACCGTGTTCACCTTCTCCCGGAGCGAGCCGCCGCAACCACCGCAACGTTCTCGCAGAATCGACATTATGTTTGGCTGTCGAAGGAACGCTACCACCTGTTGAAGAACAAGTAAAAAATTTAACGGTTAGTAATATATGAATTTGTTACTTTTTCGGTCCCTGGCAACTTCTACAATTGAATTGTACTTGCATCCAGATGTTTCCCTCATTGACTTACTGGACTTGACTTAATTTCGTTAGTCCCCGAGATGGGGCAGAGGGCGTCCTCAGAAGTCCTCCATCGCGTTGTTTCCCTCATGAGGGTGCCTAAATATTTTTTTTATACTATAAGGGGCCGTCTATTACTTACGTGAGGCGTTCGAGGGGCGTTCGCAAGAAACAGAGTAAAATTGCGAAAAACTGGGGTAAATTAGTAAAAAATGTTCCTCCACGGAAATATGGATAAGTCTTATTAATATTTATTGTGGTATTGCGAGTGCCTCGAAGTTGCACACTAGCCCGTCGTTTGTTTAGGCGCTACCGGCAGCCTTTACACCGGCTTTACACTAAAAACACATTTTAAAAAATCTCACGTGTGATAGGGGGATTGGGGAGTATGTTGATTCGTAAAAAAACGTAATTAATGGACGCCCCCTAAGTGGGGGCAAAACACCAGACAGATCACCGAATTTTATGTGACTACTCATGGACACCTGCCATTCAAGAATCTTTGAGTGAGTTCAGTACAAATCATGTGGTTAGAAAATGATACTTTTTCAATTAATGTTTTTTTCCTTTATTAATTGCAATTTCCGAAATCATGAAATTACAACTTATTAGAGAGTCTACAAGATTACCGCATTATCTTTTGCATTACTACTTTTGCATATTGCATTACCAACAGTCTAGATGTTTTGCTTGTGTCTAAACGGTTCAAAACGAGAATTATTAAATATAATGCGTCAACTACATTGTAAGCCAGAGTTAACTCTTACATAAAATATGTTTTAACGCCATCTAGCGAAGACACTCAGAACTACACTCTAAATAATGTCTTTGACTGGATTGAAGAATAATGTTTACACCATTTAGCATTGTATTGAATTTCGAAACATCTACTCTTAGTTTGCGGTCGCCCAGACTGGACTACCTTATCAGAAAAATAATCCATTGCTCTTGTAGGTATATAACAACGTCTCAACAATAAAATATGTGTCATCTAAATAAATTGACTGATTTTCATTTGTTTTTTTTTGCGGAAAGTGTCTTCGAAAAAATCGTGAGTGTTCTTAGCTATAGTCAATCTGCACAGAACAAGCACAGACACAAATCTGTACCGCAGTTTAAAGATCCTCTCTTATGTAGACTCTTTTGTAACCATGAAAAGGGTGTTTTTAGTAAGAATATTTTAAACGTATACTTTCTATAGATATTATATAAATATATTTACCTTGTCATTGTAAGCAACAGGTATTTCTTGATGCGCGTTGTGAGGCTGTACATCCATAGCAGTGATTGGTGGTCGGGGAGGTGGAGTCGGCGCCTGCGCATACATATTACATTACAATACTAGTTTACTATTATAAGATGTACTGTTATTTATACCAATAAATTAAAACCAGAAATACCCCCATCGGATTTTGAATTTCGATACCTTGGAGTATTCCCAACAGAGTATAGCAATTAAAATAAAACTTTCTTGAAGTAAGGTACGCCTAAATATCTTTTATCGTTATCAACCATTCATAGACTTGGATAGACAGGCAATGTTGCTTAGAAGGAATTGATCTATGGAACCAAATTCTGCCACTCTGTCACAGGACTTATTAATCCCACAGGGAAACAACCTCTTGGTAATGTTGTTTTAATTGATTCATCATCAATTATCATCATAAGCTTTTAATAGTCAACTGCTGAACATAGGCCTCTCCTTAGAAAGGAGGTTTTGGCCAGACGGGTTGGTATAGGGTTTGTTTCAAGTTGTCCTTCTCTCTGCAGTGCTGTTTTCCTGCGTAGTTTGCTCCCTTAGTCGGTTCTTACGACACCCACGGGATGAATAGGGGTGATGACACTCTGTATTCTAAATCTTAACTTACTTAACTAACTTAACTTAAAATACCTGAGAAAGTAAAAACAATAAGTGTGAAATTTAGCATACTAGCTCCATTGTAGCGTGTGAATACATCAAGCAAAAATAAATATTGTTGATAAATTACTGAATATTTAAAGTCTTCGAAAAAAAAGGACGATGGACCCAAACGATATCCCAAACAAGACCACAAGTAGCAAGCAGATTAAAAAAATAAAAAAATCAAAAACAACAGAACAAACAAAATACCGAAAGCAAAGTGCACATTCCATGTAAAGCATGCCCTGTGCTCAACCATAAACAAATACAAACAACACCACAAACATGAGCGCCGTACCATCACAAAAAAATCAATTTGAAAAACGATAACACAAATTAGAAACTAAATACAGATTACAAAAAGATTACCCATATTTTTTTCAAAGCTATATTTTTTGTGTAAAATTTCAGCACTTAATACATAACTAATGAAGTTTTTACATAATTTCCAAACTATAATTTTTTTACTAAGGCTAATTTTAAGTTTAACGTTAAATGTTTTAGTTCAAATTCATCGAATTTCTAATAATAATGTTTTTAATTAAATCGAGCAGTTATTGATTTCCCTAAATAAGAGTTTTTTTTGAACGTATGGTAAAAATGAGGTCTACCCTTGATTCTACAATTTGCGATGGAGCGAAACATCTGCCTCGACGATATATCATGTTACACACAAAGCACATGAACGTTCAACCAAACACAATGCCAAGAATAAGTGAGGTATGTGATGATGCGTGGTGGTCGAACTGACCGTGTGGTGTTCGTGGTGCGCGTGGTGGGCGTGGTGCGCGTGCGGGCGGCGGCGCTGCGCCAAGAGCGGCGAGAACGGGCCCGTCGCCGCCGCGCGCGGCACCCGCGGGTCGATGAACGTCGTGCGACGCATCACGTGGTCCACGAAGAAATGCTACACCATGGCCACACGTTAGTCCTATCGCACCCGACTCTTCTACACACTACTACTGATCATAATGAATGTATTAAAACTGAAACGTCGACGCTTTTCTATTAACAATTTTGACGAAGACAATGAGGGATTACTTTAGCAAATATGTTTTTTTTTATTTGAATACCGGTAGCATTCACTGTCCATTATCTATAATCCGAGTGACCCATACCCTAAGCCTAAGGGACCACTAGGCTTGAGCTAACATATTTAAAAAATGAATAAAATATCCGATTCCATGAAAATAGAGTTAAAAATCGTATACAAATTTTCAATGTAGTCCATCAAAGAGCTGCAGTTTTCTCGCTTCAGTGAATTACAATCAAGACTGCAGCAAATAAATAATTATATGATATTGTGTGTGCCAACATAGACTTGGGAATCTCTGTGTTCTCCAGGGCCTTAATTCTGCTATTTTATGTTAACGCCAAGACACGCTATTGAGATGCCATTGAGACGAAATTGACATCGGTCAAAATATCAGTATTCTACTAACATAAATTTACAATGTCAATAGACTGTCGATATAGTAATATAGGTCCTCAATGTTGATATCCACAACATTGCTTTACCTGGAAAATTAAACATATCATTTTCTTACAAATTTAAAATTTACCGTTTACCAAACATGTTAGAAAGACATCGACGACATTTGTATCAGTGGCAAGTCATCGAGAGGCCATTGGTCGTACATAGTTAGTAGAATAGGAAAAGGGCAAAACCATTCCGACGACATGCCATCGACAATCTATTGATACAATACTAAAATAGCAGAATTGAGACCCAGGGCACATGTCAAAATTTGTCACAGCGAACCAACCAGCGACACTCCTACTATCTTTAGAACCTACAATATAAACAAGACAAAATCATCTGAAAATACTCATATTTGTAAACTTCCTTCTTTCCATATTATGAGATTCTCGTATAAAAACCTAGAACAGAAATTAGTTTTTGGTATAGTACCTTGCCGTTCCGGTCGAGTTTGGTATCCCATCCCAACGGCAAATCTCTATCCGTCTCGCTGAACATGTTGACCAGGGCGACGAGATCCCGGTTGTGCTGATAGCGCTCGAAGGAAGATGTATCCCGACGGATCTTGGATATCATATGCTTGAGAGTAGAGTTGCCGTTGTAAAGTGCAGACGCTTCCTGTAACAGTATATAATTGTGTTTTATATGACTATCGAAATTACTTGAAAACTATAATAATAATTTGGCACATCGCATACGGCCGTCTGATCCCAAATTAGGCAAAGCCTGTGGTAGCCCGACTGCCAGGTGAACGTATTTATATATTTAGAATTATTTCAGAATTAATGATGATTGTCCTAGGTGCGAATTGAATCCAAGATCTCTAGCTTTTGGTGATTATCAGTTATATTGAATATTTTACTGTGAATGTTGATCGATGGATGGTGGTGGATCGTAAATTAACAATTAAGGATTAAGATGATGGGATATTGTTATTTTATTAATCGAACTACAATACACAAGTTACAGGTACGTAAATTAAGCGGACCACGGGCGTCCTTGGACGCCACCGGGATTAACAATCGCATAATGATGACAGGTATGTGAAATAAAAATATTAACTAAGGAAAATCCTACAATACTCTATGGCATTTTTACTTCCTTTTAGAGAATTTCACTAAATCTTCAAACTGTCATACGATTGACAAATTCGTGCTTTTTCAAAAAAAACCTAACAAAATGCCGAAAAACGAGATGAAAGATTTTACATATCAATTTACCTGGTTCATGTGCAATATGGAATAGAAGTCAGGCCTGGCGAGGAAGTCAGCGGCGGGGTGCGGCGCGTGGGGCGGCGCCGTCGAGGACGTGGAGGCCGAGTGCGCATGCGCCGGCGGGGGCGACGCGCATGCGCCGCCCTCCTCGTCCGACAGCTGCGTGCGCGTCATCGTGCGCCGGATCGACTGGTACCTGCGACATACGACCTCCGCATTGAGCGAACAGCTGCGAAATGGCTTAAACACTATGTCACGGGAAACAGAAACGATTTAAACATATGACAATAACGGTTTATAAATAAATTAAAACAAAAACGTATCGATACCTTTTCACGTTTACTACCTTAAAGTAACCACTCGTGGCTGTAATGTAAATTCCACTGTAAGTTAATTTGAATAAAACTAAACGAGATGAGGAAGTTTATATTTGTTGTTATGATGCATAAGATAGCCTTCCGAGGGTGCAACAGTTATTTATTACGGTGAGTACTAACTACACTTTTTAAAATTCTACTTTTTTAGTACTATCTAATGCTAAAGGAAATTTCACCTTCGATCTAATTGTCGTCTCTGCACTTCGGGCGCCGGGGATCTAGGAGTTGTCCCATTAAGTCCTGGCCGCTGCCACGTCGTCGTCCTGTTAATATGGTCAATGTAGAACACCCGTCCGTGGCTGTCCATTCGGGCCTCCCATCCTAAAAAGCGATAAAGTACAGTTTAGATATTAAAGACAAAAAAAAAACATTTTCTAAATGTATCTAATTACACAATGGTACACACTATTGTATCTTTAGCATAACATCAAGTATTTTAGTTACTTATGTACCTTGTACAGTCAAATATTTTCTCGAATACAGTTTCACTATATCTATACAAGTAGCGCCACCTAGTTAGGACCGTAAACAAATCCTTACAATAACATCTAGATGGCGCTAGTAGTGGCAAAAAGTTAAAATCTTTAATAAGTACTCACCCGCTGGTAAAGGTTCTTCACATTCAATAATCCCTCCAATCATATTAGCAGGAAAATCACCCGTTAACGCCATTTGTCTTGAAGCCCTTTCTGGTATCGAAGGTAGTCTGATACCCGCCATATGCCTCAAAGGTGTAGGAGATGCTACAGTATTGTCGTTGTCATCGTTATCCTCTGGTCTCGGTCTCCGTAACACGACATCTTCTGGAGGACCCGCGTGAACTATCGTAAAGTGATTACTATTAGCAAATTCCATATTTGGAGACCTAATTTCTGAAGTTCTTAATTCATTTGTGAATTCCACCATTTCAAAGTTTTCGTGTAATCTAGCTTCTGAATTTTGAATAGGAGGGGGTTGTAAATCCGGTGGGGGTAAGGGTCTTGGCCTTCTAGCGTGATGAGTAGGCGTCGGGGGACATTGGGGCACTGCTGTTCCTGCTAAAGCTGCCACTCGTGTTAGCACTCGTGGATGAGGCCTTACAGGACTTTCCAAGGTGCTAGTGCTTGTCTTACTCGGAGAATGTTTTGGAGTTCCCTCGCAGCCGAGATTCTTGAGTAAATGTCGAGGTAGGCTTGAGTGTTTCGGCGTAGAGGACTCACACGAGTACTTGCGATTCATCAATAAAGTTCCTACACTTGGCAAAATTTTGTTGGACTCATCAACGGGCGATGTTGAATGCGAGGAGGAGTTACAAGAACTTGGTGCATTTGAACTAGTGCTGTTATCCGTCTCTCTTGTGGGTGGATCAATGTGGGAAGAATTTAAAAACGCTGTCATCATCGTAGGTGTATTTGCACGTCCAGAGTTTTGTCTAGTCAGAGGCTTGTGTCCTTTTAATATTGTGATTTCCTTCTCTTCTATTTGATTTCTGTTATCATTTTCAAATTCAGAATGATTACTTATATCATTCAAGAAAGTATGTTGGGCTTTCTCTTCGGACTTTGCGTGATTTGGCGTTCTAGAAACGCCATCAACCACGTCTATAGGAGGATTGGGTTTTTCTTTTCTTGCAAACGTCGTAGTAATGTAGTTATCAGGACCAATATCTTTGATAAACAATATTTTATTCCTACTAGCGCTAGGTGAGCTTTCAGTTGCATCTTTAGATTTTTTTTCCTCGTTTAATCTAGATAGTTTCGAAATCGTAGATTCACATAAACTACCGTCAGTTTCGGGCGTTGCCAATGGTGCAATATTTTGTCCACCTTTCCAAAAGCCAGCTGTTGAAGATGTGGCTATTTGATTTCCGGAGTAAAACTCTCCTGGCTTAAAATCGTTTATTTCACCTTGAAGAACAGCCGAGTTTGTTATGTTATTGTCAGTAAAAAAATTTTCATCGGTGTCTATCAATTCAAAGGTGAATGAATCTTCGGGTTTTGTTAATTTTTTTGGTTTTCTGTGTCTGGGTACCTGGGGTGGAGACAATGCGTGCATTCTCTCGAGTGGTTTATGTGATTGTCTAGGCGGCAGGGGTGGCACCGGTGATTTTTCTGCATCACTGGGCACATTCGCGCTCTCTACGTCGTATACGAATTTCATTATCTTGCATGGATTCTTTGGTGACCATATTTTATAATACTCAGTGCCCGGTGAAGTAGGCGAATCGAAACCACTATTTACAGCTTTCTGTTTCTTTTTGACACCGTTGAGTGCTTGACTGCTACCCGTATCTACTGGTGGAGGGTATTTCTTCTTTACTCCAGAAGAAGTCGGTTTGCAATCTGTAGCACTCCGAGATTCACTATTTTCAGTTTGAGATTCTTGGCTTAAACTACTAACTAGAGATTTACTAGGATCACATTTTGTTTTTTCGAGATTCTTCCCGTTACTTTCTAAAGCACTAATTGAGCATTTATTCACGTTTTCGCTGAGATGTTTGATATCATGACTGGTACCGGGAACGAACTCTATTCTGGGCGGATTCTCTGAATTCATTTCAAAACTTTCGTTGTTGTAGGAGAAGGGCGACACGTGGTCTCCGCTTCTCTTCCTAGACATGCCTTCCTTTAGTCGATGTGGGAGTTTTTTGAGGTCGACCTTGAACTTGGTAGGTAAAGCCGGAGATTCCGCCGCGCACTCCTCACCTTCGCCATTGTAATAGCGAAAGCAGAGCAATTGTTCACAGTCTGAAACATAAAAAAATTATAGTGTTAATCATGAATCTGATGAATGACTGGCTTACAGTTACCATCATAATTACCTTCATAAGGTTGATTAGGCTCGTCAAGAAGCCACATTATGTCGCCGCTGGCGCATCCGGTCGCCGGCACGCGCCCGACGACGCCGACGTTGCCCGTCGACTCTGTAAAAGAACGATATTTTTTCTTACTTATGGATTTTAATAATTTCATCCCCAGTATCACTTAAGGCGGCTTTAATCAGAATGAAGTAAATTTCACAAATGATTACGGTAGTATTAATTGACAACAAATATGTTACCGAAAACAACAAAAAAAAAGCGTAACTTAAGCACGATGCAGTAGCTATATTAAATAATGCAAAGAACTTAAAGTATGGGTACATTTAAAACCAGTATTAAAAAGGCTTCTAAAACAGTTTAATTTATTTTGAATTTTTTAATCTGATATTTATTACCTACATAAAGTTTCGTACCATTAATATTTTCGAAGAAGAAGCACTCCAAAAGAGCAAAATTTACATATGATCTCTAAAAAAAGGTAACCATCAAATTCACGACAGCTAAAACAAAGGTAAAAATTACTTCGCAAAATCTCATTTGGAACCAGCTGCCGGTGGTGCCACCATGAAACAACGTGTGCAGGTGCAAAAGAGTCAGTATTAAAAACAAACAAATCAAGTGCATCGCAGCTCAGCACGATACTGGCGGAGCCGAACCCTTCTCTTTTTTTACCTAACAAAAATCAAGCGGGTGCATGGCTTGCTTGCTCAGTTCGGCGCAGACGCATCACAAATTATTCGTCCGACGTAATCACCGGATGCGGGAGTCGCCCGTACATATTATGCGAAATAATCGAAGCCACCGAATTGCCAGTTAATTGGGAAAACACGACCATAAATTTCACGAAGGCAAATTGAATCTGCAAGTAAATTCAACAGGCTCTGGACGCCCATTACCACATTTTGATTGGGCTAATATACAAGCGGACGGTTAACATCTTCCTGTCACTGATTAATAGTTCGAAGCGTGCATAAATATCAAAATTTATGAGTATGTGTGCATCAGCTCACTTATTTTGGACCATACCAACGTCCTGTTCAGGAAAATATACGATATCTTGTACGGAAAAGGGATATACAAGAGGATACACGCAGGGCAGGATAATATCAGCATTATCTCAAAACTGTTTCCGTTTGAAAATAATTACTGGGGTCTACAGCGAGATCGATCGTTGTCATTACTTTTTTGTTGGAAGTCATTTGTGAGGTAGCGCTTTGAGCAAAGACATTAGCAGATAATCACGTAGATACACATATGAAATTTGTTGAGTTACATTAATTTCTGGAGGAGAGGATTAATAATAAAACGTTTCGTTATGTTGAAGTTATCGTGTTATCCATACGGGTTAAGTTGAGTGTGTCTTCAGACGAAGTACGATGACGTGGTGATCGCGCGGTGACACAGAGGCCGTCTATTTCCGGGCGGTGACGCAACATCCACGAGCTTCCGTCCACAGGATACGACAGGAGATACAAATGTCGCGACACTAACAGAGATCAACTGGTGTGCTTCCGCGGGATTTGCGATAATTTTTAATACCAAACGTGTTTGTGTATTCGATACTTATTAAGCAAACTATTTGATAAATATACATGCAATACCAATGCAATCTATGAAATCACTACGGTAAGTGCAGTGTGTTTAGCATTAGTGATTTCATTTCAGTGACCAATTCTTTTTAGAGTTGCTCACTAGGGGCTGTTATTATAAGCATATACGCGAGTAAAGTTAAGTATCGATGCGCACATGTGTATTTTCCATACCACATGACATGACAAATACTTTATAGCTGAATCGTGCCAATTTCCAGAAACTAATGCTATAGATCAAGAGTATTCAAGAACACCGGACGAACAAGTCTATTACATGGAACATATATTTTTGGACGACTTGTTGATATGCTCATAAAATTCTAAGAGCATGGGGTGACGGGAGCTGAAAAAATTTACATATAGCAATTTATTTCCGCTCACTTTCAACTATAGGAATCATATTCGAAGCATTAATAAAAAGTTTATAAATTCCAACTACGAAAAGGAAACATCTGTTATTCGTTTCGCTTCCCGGACTTTTAAGAAAAAAAGCGCCTGAATTTCTGACATACGTTGAGCAATATGATCACACAATATTTATAAGGTAGCTGCGGCAAATACAGACATGACAGAATTATAAACATTTGCTACATTGAAAATGCACTACGGGAGTAGTATAAACACTGTATCCGATACACCCGCGTTCATACTTCATAATTAACTGTACATTCACATGTTTTTTGTAACATTAACAGCCTTTAATAGTCCACTGCAGGGCATAAGCCTCTCCTTAGAAAGTGTGTACAGTAACTGTACGCTTACTATAAAGTAAATTAAAGAACTTAAGTAAAGAGAACCGGAAATATTTATTACGCACATTCTGATATAAACAATAACACTGTCAAGAATAACGCCGTTGACACACCTATGTCTTAGAATACATATTTTATATTAGCACCGCAAAAGGAAACATAAACGTACCGATCAAAACAAATTAATTACATACGTCAGGCTATTAAATTACAAGTTGTATTACATGAATAACAAAGTGTTTACGATTATCATATACACTGCAGCTAGAAGTGCAAGGCCAATGTGAGTGTGACAACCGACCGTTTGGCGGAAGCCAGCAGTTAAAGTTAAACGGTCATTCCTCGACCCCTTGAACACATCTGTCACTTTGCGCCTACGCCTCAATGTTTTAAGTAAGTTTTTTACACTGCTCATGATACCTCTTAAGTGGGGGCCCTCAGTTTCACACGATGTCTATCGGTTACATGCACCTCGTATCCTCGATTTGAGTAAACAGTAAGATGTCAGTGATGCTGACATAAACGTGTATTCTAGTGCCATCTTACTGTTGTTTTTTTCTTTTTTGGAGATAACAAGTAATAATAATGAAACAGGAATTAATTGTTTAATACTTCTTTTGCTTAGCTGATATTAAAAGAATATTAGAATTCAAAAAGGTTCAAAACATCGCGAATCAAAAACATTTTCGAATTGGTAGCGAGCGGCATCATTGGCACTTTACTGCAGAGAAAAAAATTGCTAACTCTTAATTTGTAAAACCGTCGAAGGAGAGGCTGCCTTTATCAAATTCTTTCGAGTACCTTATTAAGACTAATGCCCTAATATTCAAACCGCTTACCTTCTACCTAGCCTATTTAGTCGTGTAAAATAGTTGTTATATATTCTATTGATAGATTATATCACAACTGTAAAGCAATACAATTTTAATGTGGCATCAAATATAGAACCGATACTAACTGTATCCATCTTTAAATAAACAAAATTACATTTCCAAGTCAGGAAACGAGAGTTTAAAGGGGTCGGGTCGATGACAGAGCCCCATTAGCCAAGTGACGATTTGACAGTTTCATGAGCTTGTTTAGAGATGACAGCGTCAAACGACGCTTTGTTTCCAATTCACACGAATACCTTTCAGCGTATGTTATGCTTTTTACCCTGAGAATGTATGGGAGCTTTATTTTTATCTTCACGTTTCAGATAAAGTGAGAGCTGTGATTTAACCGCTTGGCGTAACTCGCTCGGCCTTTGAGTATGATCTTTAGTTTTAGGAATGGCGCAAAACATTTTTAAGGAAATCTGCACTTCAAAGTTCTATATAATTATTTATAAGGTTTATTGTCCTTTACATTAGATTCTCGATGCGAAGAGGTAATCTATTAAGGTCATATTTGAAGTAAGATGCGTGATATGGTGGGTCAATCTAAAACAAGCAAAAAACAGCTTTATTGATATTCGCAGTTTATTTTTACTCATATTGTACCGATTCTCATGACTCTAAAATGAAAAAAAAAAAAAAACTAACATATACACACCTGGAGAAACTGTGTTTCTATTGAGTGAAAGTCTTTCCATAAAACTCGCCAAGAAATTGTAACCGTAACAATTGCGGTACTGCCGAAACGAATTCTACAAATGAGTGACGGACCTGCGGCCACCATCATAAAATTGGCCGAAGTTTTATACTCACATCTTTTAAAATTCCTTTCCGTTCATTCAAAAGATCCATTAAGGACCGGTTAATTTTACGAGTAAAGACCACTTAAAATTCCAAAGGGTGAGCACAAATCAGCTCGGATATTGAAAGTTGCAGGCAAAGGTTCGGCTGTATCCATTAGCACCTACACTGATAAGTTATATTTATGTGTGACGACAGATATCATATATATAATACCTACTGTCAGCAAGATGACCAATGTGGCTAATGTCCAAAGAAACTGATAGAGATTTAAATAAGCTTAGAAGGAAGGAAGGAAGAATACATTTAAAAAAAATACTATTAATGGTCAGTTAATATTTTTTTTCTATGCAATTAACTTAAAGTTAGTATTAATATAGGAGTTACTCCGATACTGTATTAGTTTAATTTACAATCAGGAATATCGGCTTTAATAACACTTTGTTCGCGTTACTTTTGGCGAAATATACGAGTAGTACATTCCATTGTAAAACCAATATTAATTTAAATATTAATGATAAGTCTTTAATTTAACACATTTTATGGACAAGCAACTCAACTGCTTGACACTCGCTCTATGTTTATATGTCTGTATGAAGACTGAAGGGATTTGAATGCCTTTATTTTTCTCATGATCTGCATTTTTAAAACAAACAATACAAAAAAAAATGTAAAAATAACCTAAATAAATGTTGGTAGGTGCGGTTGACTTACCTAAAATTCGGTATTTTACCCTATAATTCCCTTGAAGTCTATAAAGCAATTCGTTTAATTTTATAACGACAATTGAAAGCTTCAAAATCTTTAAAAAAAGGCTAATTATTGAAGTGTTATTATCCTAAAAAACGTGAATCTCTTGTTAGACAAATCGTAACTTATTATAATTCATACACAATCTAAGAACGATATGAATATCTCGAATGCATTAAGTCACTCGTTGCTATCTTGCCTTGCCCTCACGGCCGTGTCACCGCCGTGCCAAATAAGGTAAAACATTATCTAACCATTTTCATATGGTTGTCACCTCATAAGAGCCACTCGTAGTTAGATATCGCTAAACCCAATGCATGCCTTAGCCTCTCCTACAGCAGTTCATAGCGCTGTTTACCAAATAAGGATGACATGTAGCCTTTATTTCCTTCTACGGCTACAGATGCAGTGCATCAACAGCTCAGCTCATGAATGAAAGAAATCCACATTTGTATTTATTCACTAGAACTAAATTGTCATCGCACTAGAGAAAATTTTGATCTCACAAGGTTTAATTCAATAGACGCGATGTGTAGGCGGCGCAGGCGCAGCTTCTAGTATATCATGACATGCCGACCACTCAATTATGGTGGCCACATTTTATAGGGTATTTAAATGTCAATTACAAGTAATCGACGTAGCCATAGATAAGAGCTCGAGATTGACACTATTGTCAACGAACTTTGGTCAAATAGGAGATTAGAAAAGAGATCCGGAAGTTGAATCACGGCAGGTACAAATCCAAAACGAATAAAAATATATTATTCGATTTAAAAACTAAAAGATTCCTTAATCCATTTTAGATTTTTCTAAATTACCCTGAATAATTATTCCTTATTTCCCAAATAAAACAACTTTTTAAAACAAAAAAAAACATATTTTTACATGCGAGCTACTGTGCAACTTCGTGGCACTCGCAATACCATAATAAATATTATTGTATAAGACTTAATTTAACTTAACTTAATTTAACCCAGTTTTCTTGCAATTTTACCCTGTTTTTTTTAAATTACGTGATATTTGCCGAAATCCCCCCTCTCACCTAAGTAAGAATAAATGAGATTCGGCTCGACCCCCTCCTCCCTGAACGCCTCACGTAATTAATGGACGTTACGTTAGATTAACTTTGAATCGATCGCCACGTGCGGGCCGCTTGATCGTGTGGAAGACGAGCGGAGTGGGGATTCATTCATTCATATTGCGCACGCGCATCGATTGCAACCTCACCGTGTCCGCGCGCACATGCTCGCACCGCACCTCGACCTCGCCACAAAATGCATTTTTCAGATACCTTGTGTACGACACGAGGTATCATAAATTATTCTAAGGTCTTGTCATTTCAAGTATCATAATAGTGTCAATGAACTCTTAGGAAAGCATTGTTATGAAAGATCGCGTTATCTTTAATCCTCGATCAAAACCGATCTCTAATTCTGTTGACAGTCGTCCCATTCAATAATAACGACTTCTTGTCAGCCAGTGGGATGTCGTATGGCTACGCCTACGTCGCAATTAAGTAACGTGGAATGTTGATCCTCAATGTTAGTGTAGGTGACAACGAAAATATTAAATTAACCAGCGTATTAGGCAATATGGTAAATACATCGTTGGTAGTGAATTAGGCAAGTACTAATATTTGCAGACACCCACATCCGCCAACCTGCCGCATGCCGGCCAGTCGAGTCAATAAACTTCTACTATTATATATATTACTATCTAAAACTACGATATGCCGTAGCAAGAAGTGCATCGGGTCGAAATCAGTAGTCTACGACCGTTGAACTAGCCTTTGCATTAGAAAAAGTGAATAACGACAAAATATTGTTAACGGTGGGGTGGTAATTAAAATCAACTAAAATCTTATGCAATTATGTTTTATAATACTATATGTTACGGTACGTTCTATTTATAGAGTATGTTAATCTACATTAAAAAACCGATCACAATTCCTGAATCCTATTTAAATACATAATTTAGGTTCGTTCTATATAGAGAGATGACACCACTGTATAATAGAATAATTTTGGGGAGATCAATAAAACCACATTTCAATTGCGATCCCATGATAAATATTACATTTTTGTGACCAATTAGGGAAGGGCCAAATATAGGACGATGTTTACTAATCGATAAGACAACAGACTGAGACAAGCGATTGAGTGTCAGAGCGGGGGCGGTACTCAGTGGGACAATGTGGTGGTGTGTGCGACGCTGTGACACCCAGGAGTGACGCGGCACGTAGGCGCGTGCGCTCGGCATGCGCATCGCGCCCACCGTTACGCCACCGCCATTATAAATCTCGTACGATTCCGCGGAATTTATGGGAACATTGCCAGCGACATCCTCATTGATCGACATCGACCGGTTATCGACAGTCCATTTGCCTACTCTGATTCTCGACACGTAATACCCGTAAATTTCTCTACCGAGTTAAAACTGTGAACTGTTGCTTCTCTAAGTACCTTACATATAATATGATATGAGGTTGAGTTTTATGGCTTGCTACGTACTAATATGTAGGTCTCATAGGCCGCAGACTAGTTACAAAACTGGATAGGGTAAGTAAATCACAAAAGGGGATTGCCAAGTTTCAGTCCCATTCAATTAAATATTCAATAAACGTATTGCTTTTGACGTGTTAATACAAATACGCAAGCAGAATCGGGATTAGGGCGCGGTAAGAATATGCGATATCAGACGAGAACCGGGACGAACGACCTCCACATTTGCAAAACGAATACAAATGCCCTAATCAAATCAGGTAGTCAACCAAAGTGATCAGTCAGCACATAAACGTAATAAATCATGAGAAAATAACAAGAAAAGAGTTATTTGCATTCACTGTAAGGTTGCAATAAAGTGCACCCGACAATCCGGTAACATATGCATAAAATCGTAAAACCAATAATATGTACAGCAAGAAATTATTTTTTATCCAAATCAATGACATCATTGTATCCAAATGTCATACAAATCAGTATCTTAATTAGCATATTTATGTGTAAACGCCTCACAAAAGTTATAACAGTTATTATAATTTGGACATCGAAGTACCTTCACCGAATTGCGACGACAATGTCGCGAGCGGCCTTTTAATGAACCGAATACTTACACGCACTTCCTGTACAGTGAGTATTTAACTGGCGAAAAACAAATCGACGACCTTAGCTAATGCGGTTAATAAGTAACGAAAAGATAAAGTTACTAGTCTATCGACTCGAGTACCAAACTCACCGCGTACCGTTGACCGTGACCCACGGTCATAAATGTCAGAGGTCACTGTTAGCTAAGATTTCCGCTAATTCAAAATTATTTATTAATAAGATCAGCAGAGAAGCGAAGCAAGCGGTATAATATACAATTTGTTAGTATCTGTTTCGAGAAGATTTACACAATTTCGGAATATAATGTGGGAACTTATTCTTATATATTTGCACACAATGGTTAAGCAAAAACATATTTCGCAGACAGGTAGCGTGTGATTGTGCAGTCTCATTATCTGGATTTATAATTTTTGTTTTATATTGTGAGAAAAGAACCAACAAAGGCTTTTGTAAATATTTATATACGTTTTCTGCAAAGAGATTAGGTGAATGTTCGCATAAAAATTGCACCACGAAAATTTCAAGGTATTCTGGAGCTATCAGCATTGATCTTGCAACACATTAATTGTCAGCATTCTTAACTAATTGTGTTTAAGCCCGCCACTTGTACTTGTCTAACCTAGCTTAAGTTGATCATTGTATATTTATACCTGGTGTACAATAAAGCGATATTATTATTATTAAATGCTGTATAAAGAACTAACGATTCTGGAATTCCCTTGTGCTGTGTGGCGTTACTCGGACACAGGGATCTA